TGGAAAACCAGACTTGGATGCTGCATAATGACAATGCGCCAGCTCACGCATCGCTCGTTGTCCGCAGCTATCTAACAAAATATCACACTCCTGTTGTGCCCCTTCCACCGTATTCTTTGAAACTAGCCTCTGCTGACTTTTTCGTTTCCCAAACTTAAAACCACATATAAAGGAAGTCGTTCCCAAACCATGGAGGAGATTCAGGACAATGCGACAAGAGACCTGCGCGTCATCCCAGTAAGTGTGTTCCAAAAGCTTGACTGAATCACGGGGAATGCTGATCTTCAGCATTCCAAAATTCCATTTATTAGAATGAATCAAGGGAGGGAGAATCTGAGTAAAGAATTCTTTTCGGTAATTCTCATCAGACTCAAACATTACATGATGACGACAAAGTGCTAAATGTGCCGGATTGGGCTGCGTATTGATCAGAATGTTTAATTCCAACAGGAACAAATCAATAAATCACGGGGTGGCAAAGTATGTACAGGGGAAATCACAGCAGAAGTTGTAGGCCACGGTAGAAGTAAAGGACGTACAAACTGTTTTTGTACGCACAATTCGCCTTGAGGTGGAGGATGTAGATAGCCTCCGCAATAGATAGATGATGCTTGAAGGAATCCGCGCGAGAAACGTTCAGGGATAGTATAGATGACTCTGAAATCGTTTTCCGTCCCTGCGTGACCGCACTCTAGAAGGTGAGACAAGATGGAGCTGTTACTAGACCTCGCTTCGCCTTTGTAAAACCACTTCGGGATGTGTTCGCGAATCCTATGAGATAGGCGCCTCGTAGTACGACCCACGTATCGTGCACCACAGGAGCACGAGTAAAGATAAACAAGCATTGATCGAGTCACCGGAGGCAGCCTGTCTTTCAAAGGTTTTGCGAATAAAGGCTTGTTGTAAAATACTATGCATAGGCGAGCTGCGAAATAGGTCTTTTCATGTAATGTTTGAGTCTGATGAGAATTACCGAAAAGAATTCTTTACTCAGATTCTGCCTGCCTTGATTCATTTTAACAAATGGTCCAAAAGGCTTTCCAAAAATGGGAACACCGTTGGGAACGGAGTATTGATATTAGAGGGGACTACTTTAAGAGAGAAAGTGCTTAAAATGCTGTGCAATGAGCAATAAAAATTTATAGAAAATGTTTGGTTTCTTTCTGACCACTCATTGTATATCAAATACTCGGAGGTTATTCTCGTTTTGTCATCGAGGCATGTCCAGGGCGTTTTCCTGTGGTGAATACTGTCAAGATCGAATAAAGCTATTTATCCAGTTAAAACCCAGGACACACTCATGCAGGTTAACTGAGTCGTGGTGCTTCCACAAGGACATTTATCGAGAACGCCATATCGAAGGCTTTGGTTGAGAGGCTGGGTTACGACGTTGAGCTTGGCAGCAGAATGGACTAAAAGCAACTACGAACCAGGTAAACGAAAACAATGTCGTGACACATTCATCGTTGCGTAAGAAGGGAGTAGTCATGTTTTGCGTATGTCGTGGCGGATGAGCGAAGGTATGCTGCCACTGGCGCTATGCTTACTTATTCTCATCACTAGTCGCATAGGTGCTCCTCCCAATTTCCATTTCGAGTAGTCCAGTCCAGAAAACCCATATGCCCTCCAACACTCCTACAATACAAGGTTACGTGGTGAAAACGTGTACGTTCGCGGGGTAGCGCGAACAGCGGGTGCTGAAAAGTGCGAAAACAGGTGATTTGAAACATCCGCTAAGGACCAACGCAATCCACCTCATTGGTCGTCATAGAGCTCAGTCGCTAGTGTATTGAGGCTGAAGCACAGATGGTCGAAAACAGATTAATCATCATCAGCATACGCCTCCGCTAATGTGCCGCAATACAAAAAGATAAAATAATAAAAACACTAAAAAAGTTCAAAAAATCAAGTAATATAAGGTTAAAGATCATATTATTAATTTGCTATGAGATCGTGATTGGAGAGGGAATCTAAAGGAGAGGGGGATGGACAAAGAAACCCACAGCGCAGATGTCAATGAGGCCGGCTCCTAGCCATATCAGCGAAAGTGTTCAACCAAACAGGTTCGTTGTCCGTCGGACCCCAACCCGGCAGTCGGGATGCACCAACCGACGCCAACTTCGAAGTGAGGGCCTTCATATATATATATATATATATATATATATATATATATATATATATATATATATATATATATATATCATCTGATTACAGAACCTGTGCCATCAGAACCATGGCGAAAAAAGGGGAAACGAAGTACAACAAGAAGAAAAGGACGTTTTTCGGTTTTACACACACCGCTTTGGTTTTTTGGAGTTTTATGTTCCATGAGACGTTAACTAATAGATGACATGGTTGAAGAGCACTGCCTCCACTGGTTCCGGTGGCGCGTTTCTAACCACTGGAAGTCCGAATTGCGTGGTCCCTATCCTGGAAGGCGGACCCGTCCGACGTATGCTAAGTGTGAAGTTGCATTCCTCATGCCTTCATACCTCTCGACCAAGTCACTGTTCGGCCTCCCCTCCTTCTCTTCCATCCAGAACCCGCGCGCAAATAACCCACTTCGCGGGAGTCAGTGGGCTACATACGAAAATGGTGGCCCAGCCATCGGAGCCTGGTGCTGAGCGATTTACTCACTCTTCCTGCACCAAATATGTGACGCCGAACACACTCATTGCTCACGCGGTGCTCCCAGCAGACATGAGCTAATATGCGAAGGCAACGATGGTCGGACGTAGCTACGCTCTTCCGAATACAGAAAGGTGCAAGAGGAACATGTCGGTCACACCCTATACCGGGTTTGGAAAGCAAACGCTGCGCCAACTGAACATGGTACCGGATCAGGGTTATCAAACGGTCTCAACCAGGTGGACGCGGTGGCTCCAGCGAACGATTCCATCGGTGTGCGATAAGGTGAACAGTGAAGCTATTGTTGAGTAACCTCATACTCTGGTGTATAAATGAACGCCTATTTAGAGGCGTGTGGGCAAACGGTTACCTGCCGCTGGTCTTTGGAATGAAGTAAAGCTTACTTCTAGCCGAGACACTTGTCGAGATATAACTTGTGCATTAAATGCATGTGAATATGACGTTCACTTCGAAAGCCACATGAATAACTGGCCGCTGAATACTCATAACCTAGGGGGTAGTAAACGGATAGGCAAGGCAACCAACAAAGTATTGTAAAATCATTACCATCACCGGTAATTACGAACCAGTTGATAGTGTTCAAATCAACTGTGCTAATATTCCTTCTCCAAAGTAATAAAGTATGGGAACGATACGAGAAAGACATTCGGTAATTAGAACGAGCTGCGACGGATGTTGAGCATCAGTTCGCCGGGCGGAATGATCTGAGTGAACGGTTTGTAGAAAGTGGATCGAGTGTAACTATCATGGAAGGTAAAGTGGTTGTTATGATGGCCGAATAGAGGCGACTAGAATGCCTCCTGGTTCTGGGAAAATGCGGTGGTCCAACGACAACAATCGTGAGACCACATCACGATTGCAGTCGCCCGAGCGTACATTAAAGGATTATATAGCAAGGGAAACAAAAAAGCCGGACAAGCGAAGGAAATATATCGATAAAACCTAGCCCACTCGACATCATGCATCTGATGCTGTGGCGCATGCGGCCGTGTGTGTCTCATCCGAATCAGCCTGGTAGATGTTCAAGGTGACCATACGGAGTCTGTATTGAATGAGTGACGAGTAAGCTGAACGGGCAAGAGCAACGTAAGTACACTGCTTTTGGTTTTATTTAGTAACTAAGGCCACTAATGCGGCAGATGAGGTACATGTGCAGCATCGTCGAGGCTGCTGAACTGCAAATGTACCTGTGCTCGTGTTGTAGCATGCTTGACGGAGTTTGCCGGTTGGTATCCCAGGACTGGCTGCGCTTGATGCGAAAGTTGACAAGTTACCTATCCGTCTAACATCGCCATTTAGATAACTGGCTCCAGAAGATTGCCGATCATCTCTGGGGGAGACAGAATGAAGTCTTGGTGAAAGTGGCAGGCTCAAAAATTGGTTCTATCCAGGGTGGCATGTATGCCTCCCTAAATTCAAACAAATGATGTCGAGTGTGAGCCGGCTCCGATTCAATCGTGACTTCCAAGTCATAATCCTTCAAGTATGGGGTCTGTGGATGAAGCTGTGGGTGGTGCATCGCAAGCCCCTCTTGGTCCACTTGTAGGCACAAGCGACCTATGGCTGTGTCAAACGGCAGATGTTATGAACCAAGTGTAGCTAGACACATAGTCGTTGCCTGGACGCAGGTACACATTTTCGATAAAAGTATGGCACGAACATGGTTTCATGTGGAATATATTGATTTGAATGGAGTTACATAGCGCAAATCGAAAGAATAACGGAAGAACCTTTAGAAGTTACCCGAACCTACCGAAAACAAGCTGCATGAAGCACAAACACCTGAAGGTTACCCCGAAGGTAGAAGTTAAACAGAAACCAGTGTAGCACCTGGGCAGCAAGGTGACATCACCGATAATATGGAGCAAAATCCGTCTTAAGGAGGTCGATCAAAGCCTCGCTGCAACGAATGGCCTAGTGCGAGTGTCGTCCACTAGACCAAACTGGGATCTTACATTGGTAGGGACTTCAGGTGCATACTTAAATTAAGTTCGATATGGCACTCCGACAGAAGTAAGCCCAAGGTGAAGTGAAGCTTCAGACATGGGAAACTTGAATGATAAGTAGTTTGTTAAAATGGGAAATTAAATGAGGGGGAGAAATCAATATCACATGACTCAGAAGTATGAACAATGGGAGGAAGAAAGCGATGTAAAATTGAGTGTTCGGACTAAGCGGAAGCGGTTGGATTGACTAAAGCGGTTTGTGTTTGTCAACAATCCAAGTATGAGGCAGAGAGTGAAACAACCTTTGAATACACAAAGAAGCGTGGAAAAACTTTTCAGCGGGGCTGGTGGTTAACTCGGTAGGCGTTGTATATAGTTGTTCAGAAGCCTAGGACTTTGACTAACCTTTGAATGACACAGCCCTAGCTCCCATGCCAGTGAGCCGCTTGGATACTCCGAAATCGCTGAGCTTCAATACACCGGTGTACTGATTGATGAGAATATTGTCTGCCTTGATATCGCGGTGAATAATGCGATTACGATGCTGAGGTACAGGGACAGATAGGTGAAAGAGAAAAGGGGTTGAGTAACTACTGCATTCCAGCAGCACAAAAGAAATGCATAGAGAAACAACTGCGACTGAAATGTCTCAGTATGAAAGTGGAATGTTAGTGCGGAATTGTGACGCACTCTTGAGTAGTGTAGCGCGTACATCATCCGATACCAGTGAATGGTGAAGTATGGACTGCGGAGCACAAATTACATCAGTGCGTGTGTAGGTACAATCCGTAGGGTCAAATTTCATCGTGAGTGCTACTAAGCGCGCTGAGTGCATTTGCGTTACCCGTTGGATCACCTGTGATAACAGTCATCCGGAGCTTAATGATCGTCCCACGACCAAGATTACATGTGCCTGAACATTTCATACAATACACTTGTCCTATATAGCAGAATGAACGAAATAGAATCCCACAGATAAAGTGGGACTCCAGATAGTGGAAAAACTAGGACAAAGAAATACAAAAAGGTTAATTTGCCAGAAAGCCAACTTGTACCCCCAACAGAAGCAACTTCAGCGGAGTAAAGCCCACATTTGTGAGAACGAACATGAGAGAGGGGATAATAAGTCGGAATGCGGGTGTAAACAAATGCCTACGGTGAAAGCTCCGGATCATAATACGTGTCCTCAACAGATAGCTTCGATAGATGAGACGCCAAGCGGTTTTCAGACAATCTGGAAAAGAGGATTAAGTCACAAGGCCAAGCCACACGAGTAGCTAAATGAGTAGAAATATATGAACAGAACGTATACAGAATAGCTGATTAGGGCCAGACAAAAAATAATGAGTAACACGAGTGATCAACCACTGGTGCTACAAGTTGCAAGGGCCAAGGTCAGGCACGAAATAACGTGGTAGGGAGGCGTCCAGGAGCTCACCAGATAATTCAATCCCTTCAAAATCTGCATTGAGTAATTTGAAACAGTTTTCTCTTGCAATGCTTCGTGTTTCTTCAACAGGGATGTTAGAGAACCTGTGGAACGATGAGAGACAGAAGGATGATGGCAAGCAGACAATATATGGAAGGCAGTCTACACAAGTGGAATTATGGTGAATACTCTCACAAATCGTCTAAACACAGAGGAACAGTTCCATGTGAAAAGCTAACTCCGAATGATGGTGGACACTTACACTCATACTAATGCGTAGAAAATCCGCTAAAGCGTTAAGTTCAAAAAATAAAGCGGAACATGGCGAGGAGAGATAGAATGTCAAACTTACAAAAAGTGTGGCACTAGCGGGACAGCCAGTTGACCGTTGAAAACCGCGGTAAATATCGTAGTATCAATCATGTCAAAGTTTTGGTTAAACGATGCGAGAATGCAGAGAAATACGCGAATTGACATACTTTCCCTATGGGCATCGCTTTCACAGAAGCGCATTTTCGAACAGAGTAAACAGGGAAATGTAAATATCATACACAAATTGATGGCCATCACACACACTGGGGAAAAACAACGCATAAGCCGCTAAGTATACCGACACTCAAGCTTGGAAGTGTAACAGAGCAAAAAGGGAGAAAGCTGATGTCGTCGCCACCAGACAGAAAACACCCACCGAATGCGAGTGCCTCAAGCTGCTCAAAACGGCGTGCGTAAATCGAGGCTTCGGCACATTTTCAGGTAGCGAACATACTCTACGCTAACACAAAGAGTAGAAAGCGACGTAAGGCGACAATATTTAACTTCATAAGTGCGACAAGCAGGATATGGAAATTAGGTGTTGCCAGCCAGAAAACTCTGCGCACAATGATGGGTTTCGACCTTATCTGGTCACATCAGGTGGGGGTAGTAGGCCTCGAACCCGCCATCATTCTGATGTTAGGTGTGACTATCTCTTTAGTCACCGGGTCACGACGGGAAACGCTTGGCACAGCAGTTAATGACTGATTGGAATGTTAGTTGAAGTACACGTGTCATTGGATTACGACGCGCAACCTCAATGTGGACTGTGATTCGCAATGAAGAGAAACTTAGCCAAATCGATAACCAGGACCATAGCTGAAGCGCATAAAAATTTAGATTGCGCGTCTCAATCCAATCACACAACGAGTTCTTCAAACGACTCCCAATTAGTTATTAACCGTTGTGTAAAAAGCATTGCCCAAATGGCTAAAAGGGTAAAGATAGTAACTAACATTTATAAGTTCACTGGTTCGAGGGTTGCTATCTCAAGTTGAGGAGATCAATAAGGTCGAAACGCGTCGTGGGGTGCATTGTTTTTGGGTGGACAACACAAATTCCATACTCTTTAGCCACGGTCCTAATGCTCTAATTGGGCAAGTTTCGTTTTGATGCGAATCATGGTCCACATTGAGATTGCGCGTCGCAATGCACTCACACAAAGAGTAGTTCAAATGACCAATCAATCAGACAAGAAGGAATGAAAGGTCTATGTGAAACATGTGACCGATAATGCCAGAAGAGAGGAAAAGAGTTTAGTAATCACATACATCAAACTCCGTACCAAGGGACAAACAGTATCGTCAAATCAACCACAGGTCCATGGGGAAAACGATGATTAGAGGTGGAGTTAAAGTTGTGTGGGGTTGAAAGTCAAGCAGGGTTCCCTAGTCCAATGTCAGGAAGTAGGGGAGCAAATATACTGTATATTACCGAACATAAGCCGACGATTTTTGGACAAATTTTGGTTTCTGTAGTGGGGTGTCGGCTAATGTAAGGGTTATAAGGGATTGGAGAAAAGTCACATGCAAAATCCTCCCAGAAATTCACTGCACACCACTACCCTTATCTCCCCTTAGCAGAACTTGCTAGTGACGGATAGTATTCCAGACGAAGATTTGAAGTGCCCCATAACTGGACGTTACTTTTGTGTCGAAACTTCTGGGTATATTGCACATTTGACGTGCGCGACGGATGGCAGTAGGGAATCAAAAGCCCGCAAACATTGTGTTATGCCAGGTGAAGCGGTGCTGTTATAGTTCAACGTCGTCCCACACCTCTGACCGTGAAGATCGCTCTTAGCCACTGCTCTACAGTGGTTCATATGCATGAGACCCCTCACTCCCTTTACGCTATATTGCCGACTGTCTCACCGATTTCATGTGACTTGACGTCTAGTCAATACACTATCCGATGTGGTGTAAGTCTGCTGTTCTAATGGCCCTACGCTCCATTAGCCGTGATTAGAATACATTACGGTCACCACAACTGACCAGTAGTAGAGTAGGTTTCACTTGAACTCACTCAAGTGAGAACAGGTGGTGATGACGTCAAAACCGTGGAGAAACAATTTCGTTCCTCTTTTGCTGATTATTAACAGTCGGCTAATACAGAGACTTACGATTTTGGAGAAATTTGATGTTGCAAAGTTATACTGTCGGCTTATCTATGAGGGGCTTATATTCGGTAATATACAGTATATTGCAGGTAACAGCAAACGTTCAAACCGAGGCTCAAGAACATGAGAGACCGAAAAGGAAACCGTTTATTAAAACACAATCAGCGCTATCGTCGTCACCCCCATCGACAAGTATATCGGAGTTGTACGCAGAAGGCTCGCTTTCATGCGAAATCCAAGAGCAACTTCAGCGGCCTCCTTAGCAAAGAAGAACAGAAGTGAGGCAACCAAAATTAAACATAAATTCAATCTCAAGTTGTCAACAATTGACCTCCAAAAGGACTGGCCAATATGACGCGGTATCGGCGAGACCTCTTCCAAGCGACTTTCAGTCCATTGCGTCATACTCAGTCACACCGCAGAGACAACGTCCCAGCCTTACACTTTAAGCGAGTGATTCGCTAGAAGGTGGGACCAAAAATGCCCCTAGAATCGAGTCAGGCACAAGGTAGGTTAACTGAATCGCAATGCCCATAGCGATGTGAACGAAAGCCACAGTTTCAAAAGTTAGCGACGTCATTCCCCACCAAAATTAAAATTATCACCACCATGAACCTCAGAGAAATCAAATGCAAGTGCAAGAACACACTCACCGTTGGCACACAGCGTGTGAGTAAGTATACTTAACACGTGTCTGAAACAACGCAGCTCGCTTAGTCTGATTTGTAAACCTAACCAGCTAACCTGGCCATCTCCAACTATCAGTCGATAAGACGGTGCCACGCGACACAAATAACACTCTGTATGCCATGGCGATCAAAGACTCACTATGACCCTATACACACGACCTACATGAAAGAGGAAAAGCGTATGTTGATGTCAAAAGGGTACCGGAGTTGTGACGGTGCCACTGACTATTGCATACTCGAATCCACCTCAACAGTCACCCGTACGTCGTGATTATTGCAGTGGTCAAGGTGATAATGATGAGCAATTCCTCAATGTTCTCAGAATCCAATGGTAAAGGAGCAAAGAAGCGATCATGGTGAAAAATCACTGCACTTTAAGATTGCAAGGTGCCGATTAATAGACGATACAAAGTGGAATATGACTCCTAGCAGCTGTCATTCACATCCAGAACAATCATTTTTTCTCACAGTCGGTACATCAATAACGGTGTGCAAGACCGGAACAAATGGCAGTACTCAGCTTCTCCAGGTAAGTGATGGTCAGCAGGATGAATTGAGCTGAGATAATCCTATTAGAAAGTGGGCACTGGCACCAATGTTTGATGGCCCCACGTAAAGAAGCGGGATGGAGTCCGGGTCAAAGCAGTCATTCAGTTGGGGCCCAGAACAAGACCGCATGAGTCGACTGACAGATGGGGAGTCTTTAACTAATGTTCCGCAGAACACTGTATCCAGAGCTGGGGTTGAGCATATGAGTCGTTTGCCCGTCAAACTGTGATGGCCAGGGGTATAATAAGCAAAAATGCACCTAGAAATTCTACTGCTTCAAATAATTTCGTGATGTATTCGCTGTTGCATAGTGAAAGACAGATGACATTGTGCGCCGCATACAGCAGAATTGGCAAATGACCAAATTCTACCTTTAGCTAATCCCTTTCTGTCACCATATTGCATGATCGATCCAGTTTCACTGAAAGACGCTTACAAGAATTCAGGATAATGTTACCGTGGGGACTCGCTCCCTGTGAGTCCCAATGGACTGTCCACACGGAGCTTATTCAATAAGGCAATTGTGAAGGTTAGTGTTTATGCTCTTGAGGGACTTAAGCAAATGAATGGCCAGTTGCGGTGCTACTCGACTGAACCCTGGATAACAGCCTGTTCCGCAAAGATTGGATGGAGAGTTAGGTGAGGGCATAGCCGTTGGATTAACAAGCGCAACTCGTTCACTATAACAGTATATATCACCTGCAGAATGTAAAGCGGATTGGGTTGAAAAAGAACTGCTGTCAACCTACAGACTTTTCGTATGAAACGCTGTATGAATGGCGTGACATTGCTTAGGGAATTAAACAAGTAGGTAGAAATTTTGGACTTTATGAATTTGAATGTAGTGACCGAAATAGTCAGTATCCGTGACAGTTGCAAGCAAAATGGTGCTAGGTACGACCAAATTGACTGTAGCACAAACCTTCAGTTCCTTTGGGGCCGTTGTACTTCTTGACGACGCCCATCGCTTGGTTAGCCTGTTAACGCAGTGCAACCGCAGTACCATTAGCTACCGCAGGTCAGACCAAACATAATATTTCCTACAAATATAAAGACACATGTAACTTGAAATCGCGTGTTCCCTGCGCTGCCTTCAGAGAGATTCCGCAGTGTCAGAGAAAAGTGCACAAGTAGAGAGAAAGCAAGACTCCCCTGAATATCTGAACGAAGTCAGAAATTCAGATTATTAATCATCCCTGTTATCCCAGAGATATATGAAGAGATATGTGAGATCGGACTAACATGATGAGGACGTTCAGAAGAACTCTGCCGATCAATCTACCAAAAGACCTCACCGCACACGCCGCAGTGGATAAAGAAATTGTTAGTCATACCCTAATTGTGCACGTGGACTTCAGTTAGAAGCGACAGCAAAGCGGTGTAAAGGTGCCGATCTAATGCTACCTGCGATAGTGAAGATCGAAATCCCCCTGTGGTTTACGAAGAACGAATCAATTGTTATGAACGGTACTGAACCAAAAACCATAAACAAAAGTTTTTCATTATATGTTGCACCCTTGTGTACGTGCCGCTAACAAACAGATTATTTCGAGTCAATCGTCTCTGGATTTGTCTGTCACTGTGAATGTCAAGAGCTACTGAACGCTAGCACCAACTGAGGGACTATGGGTACCTTGCGCTACACCACGCATAGCTCTATCCAGACAGTTCATATACGGTGCAATCCTTAAGGAATAACAGTGAAGGGCACGTGGATGAGAGTCACGATCAGTACAGAGTCGACCAACACGATTTTAACATGCACATAATTTATCTTAACAGGGGAGACATGCATGCCAGACGTACACAAAGCGGTGGCTCGGATAAGGCTTGTTCCACCCAGGATAGCACCAGTCCTTGAGACTAGTACCAACAAGAAGACTGTGCATCCCGTATCCCACGGCAACGAGCAAATGTCTCCTGGAATCAGTATGGTTGTGGTGGCGGTTTTCGAAGGCTAGGCGCATCATTTAAACCCAACATTCATATCAAGTGCAGCTACACCGGAGATATCAATCAGCAAACACCTAAATTACGAGAAAATAAACACACGGACACACACACGGACGGACTACAACAATGATGTGGCACACGTGCTACATCTAGCACATCATTGGCCTGAGTTACCAAATCGAACCGGAAGTAGGGTACTTGCCATGCTTCTATGATACAGGAAAACCTGTCTAATGCGACCACTCAAGGGATCGACAAAAAGTGGTCGCCATGGACAGGTTCATGCATTTGGACATTAATTATAGGAGAAAACGTTGGGAATGTTTTCGGCTGGTCGCTATAGACAGGTGATCGCCATATCAGATTGGACTGTATCAGCTTATCGTGGTCACATATGTTGGGAACACCGCGTGAGTAACAAGCGTCTTCGACGCCTTGTTTACGGCACGGGAAAAGGAACTGCACTGCTCAGCACCGTCATTTCACGCACCAGGTTCCGATGGCTCGGCCACGTGTTACGTATGCCAGCCAACCGGCTCTCGCGAGGTGCGTTGTTTGCTCACCGGGTGTATGGATGGAAGAAGAGGAGAGGTGGCCAAGCGATGACTTGGTCGAGAGGAAAGAAAGTCCTCACGTCGAAGCTGGACTCGGTTGGAGCGGCACGGCTCCCTGGCTGGGGTCCATAAGACGTTTGGCTAGATACATTTGTTGACATGGTTAGGATCCGAGCAAAGTGACGTTCCTGCTGTGAGTTTCTTTGTCCCTCCCCATCCCTTTTAGCCTCCTTCTCCAACCACGATCTCATTCCGTAGCATATAATTTTACAAAATAATTGTTTGTTGTATAGTAGTCCATCGCAATGAGGCTGGACCTTACCGTGGTGCGATGGTTTGTGTGCCTCAGCGATCCATTGAGCTATGCTGGGTGGTGCTTTTGCACCTTCAGAGTCACTCATACCAGATTGGTCAATGGTTAGAGGTCAGACAAACTCAGCCTCCTGGTCCTCCAGGTTGGGGGTTGGAATGAGGGTGGCACCTTATTCCTTAAAACGGACTCCTTGTAGTCCAACGCCAAACCCGCTGCCTTGCGGTCAGGTTTTTGAACCAAAGGCTTTGGTTGAGAACACTAATCGTTCTCCTGTCTAGGCCTGGGCAACCTGACAGTATCCTGCCCACGCAATACAATGAATCACACTTCAAACAAATTGCTGATGCTCTGGCCACCGCAGAGGATAATCAACGGTGCCCTATCTGCTGCATCGAGCAGGGTGGATAGGGGTTTGGATGCTACTGCTCAAGCCTTCCCGTCTTCTTATTCCCCATCTTACGCTTTTTCACTCTTACCGTCCCCTTCCAACTTCACTTATATCCCCCAGTTTTCAACCCCCCGATTCTTGGCCCTCCCCCAACATGCTTTGCTAGGCATTTATCTTCTAGTTTCAACTCACATGTGAACGCGAAGCGTCACTCCTCTCCTGTCGACAAGCCCATGTCCAACCAATTTTCACCGGGGATGTGGGTGGAAGAAGAGGAGAGGTGGCCAAGCGATGACTTGGTCCAGGGGAATGAAGTCCCTCACCTCGGAGCTAGCCTCGGTTGGAGCTTCACGGCTCCCTGGTTGGGGTCCAAAAGACGGTGAACACGTTTGGCTAGATACACTTGCTGATATGGCAAGGAGCCGACCTCAGTGGCGTTCATGCTGTGAGTTTCTTTGTCCCTCCCCATCCCTTTTAGCCTCCCCATCCATCTACGATCTCATTTCCTAGGGTAAAACATAATATTTTTTTTCTTTTTGCGTAGTAGCTAGCTGGAAGCTTACCGGAACGATGCCTATCCGTTGCTGGTGGCTCAGCTGGCATGCAACTGTTGTATCTACTTCTCCTTTGTGTATTGTATTGTATGTATGTATGTATTTCCTTCATGTATTGCGGCACAATAGCGGAGGTGTTTTTCCCATCTCTAGCTGATGTGTATAATGATGATGATGATGAGTCCGCTGGTAGTTTTCCGGAACGATGCCTATCGGTTACTGGTAGCTCAGCTAGCATACAACTGTTGCATTTATTTTCGAATTTTTTTCTTTTGTGTATTGCGGCACAGTAGCCGAGGTGTTTTACACCTCTAGCTAGCGTTGATGACTGACCTAACCGGTTATGCTGAAGCACACTCGGCCTCATGTGCTACACCATTAGGCGCACAGCGTTGAAGGGCTGGGTCCTATCGGCACCTGACGATTACGCATCAATAGGTTTCCTTAGTGGTGCAGCTTTTATTTCGGTGGGAACAGGGAAACAGCATTCTTGATGTGATAAAGCTGTTGGCAGCGATCTACTGTCATTGCTCTCAACACCTACAAGCAACAGTAGTAGTTCGTGAAAAGCTCACTCGGGATCATTTCATTGTAGCGCAGCCTCGATGTACACGCATTTAGCTGTACGAAATTGGCCATACAGCAGGCGCTTCGGTATCCTGTCGCATCCGCACGGCGTACATTTCCGAGTTATCTTAGGCGTCGCAATCCACTCCACGCATGCGACTTCGGCGGAGCACTTCCGCGTTAGGGACTGTCACACTAACGGATATGAAAAAGCCGACGCAGGCATTGTTGATGAAAGCGTTCCAAATATCGAATGTGCCACATTGTATAGCGTCACTACAGTCAGCCGATGTTCCACCTTACGAAGTGCAGCACGTGCCTTCGATACGCGGATGCGCAGCTTGCTGATCATCTGCAGGTCCAATGAGACCATGCTCCAAAGGTAACAAAATTTTGGGGAGTTCTCCATAGCTTCGTCAGAAATCCTGATGTCCAGGCAGTTCATGAATCCCAATCCTTGTGATGACTGAAAAAGTGAACAGTCCTGTCTGCATAACCACTAATTCGGAAAAGCACCAGACGGCCGTTAAACCCTACTGGGACTCATCAGGGGTGGTGGAGGTCAGCTACAGGGAGCCGAACCTATGACCGCTGACAGCTTGCTCCTGAGCCATATGGGACGGTGGGAGACTGTCATAACTTGCAAGCTAACCGGAATATAGCGCGACTTATGCTCCACAGCCATGCAAGTTATTACCACTGCATAGGATAATAGCTGACTTCCGGGGGTCAAGATTACCTGCTCCAGGGCACAATTCATTCACAGTAACGTGATGACCAAAACCGAGGAGAAAATTAATTGAACTTGCAGGTTTAATTATTGTTAATAAAGAGATTATAGTGATGAAGGGAAATGGGATGTAGGGTTACGAAGGTGACCAGAAAAGGTCATTTCGAAAGGTAACTGAGTATAAATTGAGACGATGAAATAAAACAGGGAAGTCAAATGGTGTAACCAAACTGTCGCGGGCACAAACACGAGATTGATGGTGGGCTATGTGGTTGCCACAGTTAAATTTCTAGGCATTACGGGCGGTATGTGCCAAGACAGCAAGTGATAATTTGCAAGTAAACACTCACCTCCGGGCACCAATTCCATGAGGACCTTGAACACGCCACCATCAACCACAGCACCCAAATAGTGTACAATATTTTCATGGTTTAGCCTAGAGTGAAGTCGAATCTCCTCCAACATCTGTTGGTGTTGTCTGGAATGGAAAGAGTGTACCACTGCAAGCGCGAATACATGCGGATAGATGCGGCGGAGAACTGGCAGATATTACAACATGCCTAGGCTACAGAAGTAAACCCAAAGTTGAAAAGGTATGAATGCCCGAAAAGTGCATGGCAGAGGAGCCCTAAGCTCTGGTCGGTTCGAAATAACCAAACCGCTTTTGGTTGTAAATGAACAAGGTTATGCAGTGAGTGTAATACTACATGAAGGTCAGTACAGTTATGTAAGTTGATGGGAACGGGAAAATGCATGCAGCAAAACCATGATAATGTAAAACAAAGCCAATAGAGAGGGGACATGTAGACTAAACAAACAGATGGGCATATGTAACCAATCATATGATGATATAAAAAGACTAATCACAACTAACGACAGAACAAGTGAGGGCTACATATGGTTGGCGGCATCCGGTTCCGGATGTGCCTGTCCCTGTGGCCTCCACGGGGACAGCCACAGGACGCCTGCCCCTACAGAGGGACCATGGTTGGCTTGCGCTGCACCATTCACAGATCCATCCACACACGACATATCCAGTGTAAACCCGAAGGAATAAGACCGGGAAGCACATTTCATTAAAACAGTCGGCCCACGCTTCTTCACAGGCAAGTGCAAGCACGCTGCAGTTGGGGAATTAAGCACACACAATGCGGTGGCTGGACCGTAGTCCGCTCCACACTGAGTGCATGCAACCACTCTTCGAGCCTAGCACGGCCACAAGGACCGTGCACCCCGTCCCCTCCAGCAACGACCAACTGTATCCTGGAGCCAGTATGGACGAGGTAGTGGGTAATAGACAGGTAGGCACCTTGTCAACATACACATCAAGCGCAACCATACCAGGGATATCAAACAACAGCCATTCACTTTAAACGACAAGCTGAAATAAAATAAATCCAATAATGCATACAGATACGGTAATATAACTCTTCGCCAAATTACCATATGAAGTAATTTGGTTAGCAACAAATCGGTGATAAGTAAGAAATGTCCACAAGTTACTTAAAATGCTACAAACGCAACAAAATTACCGAAGATAAGCGCAATTAGTGTAATTAACGTGGCCAGTTAATAGAACATTATTCAGGGAGGCAGAACAAACCAAATAAAGCGGAATGAAATTTAGCCAGCTTAAAAAGACCTAGTTTAAGTGTAAGTTGGTTTAGCCCAACTGCGGTGAAGAAGCATCAAGAATGCAACATCAGCCTCAGCATGGGGCACACATACATACATGGTTGGCGGCATCCGGTTTCGGATTTGCCTGTCACTGTGGCAAGCCACAGGACGCCTGCGCCTACAGAGGGACCATGGATGGCTTGCGCTGCACCACCCACAGCTCCAACCACATACCCCATATCCAGTGTAAACCCGAAGGAATAAGACCGGGAGGCATGCGGATGGGAACCACGTTTCATCAACGGAGCCGGCCCACACTCCTTCACAGGCCAACACAAGCACGCTGTATTTGGGGAATCAAGCGCACACAAGGCGGTGGCTGGACCGTAGTCCGCTCCACACTGAGTGCATGGAACCGCTCTTTGAGCCTAGCACGGTCCCGATGACCGTGCACCCGGTCCCCTCCAGCAACGAGCAACTGTCTCCTAGAGCCAGTTTAGACGAGGTGGTGGGTAATAGACTGATAGGCACCTTATCAACATGCACATCAAACGCAGTCACACCGGGGAAGTCAAAAATCAGCCAATCACTTGAAATGATAATAACAAGTAATATATATCGAATAAAACATACGGATATACCGACATAACTCCTCGCTAAATTAAAAAACGTAATAAACTGGCTATTAACAAATCTCGATTGTTCTCATTAGTCGCAAACATAATGCAAGCGGAATTCATAGGCAGTTATTTACAGGAAAAAAATTGGCACACCAATCAAAATGTCAGAATCAAGACCACCGTAACCTAATTGATTGTCTCAATAATTTCTGTGTACACAACACAGGTCAATAAGCCCTATTTAGCAAAGCCTCACTAATTGCCAAGGTTGTTTGAGTTGTAACTTTACCAGCTTTGCCCCGGTCGCATACAAATGTGGCCTAGTGAAAAGGCTCTTCTACAGAGCCAGACGGATATGCAGCCCCGAAATGTTACAAGCTGAAGAATTTTTGTACAGAACCTTGGTGACAAATGGGTATCCTGAGAAGTTCATTCAGATCCACAGCAGGCCTCCAAAGGATAAAGTACCGGTGTTAACTGCAGAGAAAAAGAATGTTTATTTGTTCTTGCCGTTCAAAGTAAACCATGTATAAAATGGAATCGGACATAAACTCCGGTTCGCCCTTACGCGCAAATACGCGACCGCCCAGTTGCGACTCATGCACACCACGCGAAGCCTTGTTCTTCACGACCGTCAGTAACTCATCGGGCGGGTCGGCCTCTCACGTCGGTTACCAGTTCATCTGCGGTTGCGGTGACATTTACATAGGCAGGACTGACCGTCAGTTAGCTCAGAGGGTAGCTGAACATGTGCCGAAGTGGTTGGAACAACTGATGACGGAGTGGATCCGAGGATGAACCGGAGCCCAGCATCATCTATCACCAAGCATCTCTTGGCAACTGGACATCAGGTGAACCTGGAGGTTGCGTTCAAGATGCTATGACCCAACAACAATCCGATAATTCTGGCAATTAGTGAGGCTTTGCTAATTAGGGCTTATCAACCTGTGTTGTGTGGACAGAAACTATTGAGACAATCAATTAGGTTACGGTGGTCTTGATTCTGACATTCTGATTGGTGTGCCAATTTTCCCTGCATATAACTATCTATGAATTCCGCTTGTATTGTGTTTGCGACTGATGAGAACAATCGAAATGTTGACATATCGCAACTTATGTCTTCTCACTGCTCTGACGAAATGGCTAAATGGAATCCACTGTTTTACCTTTTAACAACAAATCCGCGCCAAGTTCAAGATGTCATAAAATATATTTTTTAGAATGCCACAAACGCGAAAATGTTAACGAAGTTAACCACAATTAGCTTATGCGACGTGTGCAAGTTTATATATATATATATATATATATATATATATATATATATATATATATATATATATATATATATATATAGACTGGTAATTATTTGTATATAGCGCCAAAGTTTGGAGGCGATCAATACGAAGCATGCGCAGGTTTTTGTTAGAACTATATTTCATGGCGTTCAAGTTTTGTACGTCGGATAAAATATCTCTTTATGCCTACGAAACGTTCGCGTTCCATAAAAGATGGAATAGAAGGGTGTAACCCCTAACGAAATGATAACACAAGGAGGCGAAAAACGCGCCACTGTCGTGTCACTTACAGTGTACATCCATTGAGCATCCCCGTCCATAGTTCAATTACGCATAAACCTAACACAACTATTTCATTCCCACTCATATCCCCGGCGCAGTTCAGCCATGGCACAGAACAGAAAGGGTAGGCGGCTTACGCTGGCTCGGTGAAACTAAGCTCCTTGATGGCAATTTTCCTCTGCGTCGCCAAATCACGACCAACATAAACAGTACCGAAAGCACCTTTACCGAGGATTTCCCGTTTTTCATTCTCATATTCGAACTGAAAAGTGGCAAAATGGAATAATTTACTCACAGACAAGACAATGCAACAAAAGAGAAGCGGATAGAGAATGGGGAAATGGATACAGGAGGAGACCACGGTAACATACAGCAGAATGTCAGGCAGCGCTAGAAACTAACTGATAACACTCAATTCACTCATATGGCGGATCAACAGGGGTCAAACATCGATCTAATTTCCCAGATACACAACATATAACTGCCGAGGGTTTCTATAAACTCTAGGATAGAATCGGAAAAGGCTGAGTGACAATTAGAAATACGATGAACATGGAGTATAAGGTACAACAGTGTATCAAAAAAGGGTGAAAAGCAAGTTTGTCTCATACCTCTATTGGAGCTGGTGGTTCGTCTTGCAGGACTAAATCGCCGAGCTGATCGGACGATAGTAACTGATCAGACACCACAGAGTAGAATCTGATGAATTTGATCAAGGAAGAGGGAAAGGACAATTGCAAGACATATATGGAAGCCCGCATGCAGGTGGCAGAGAAAATAATGCATAAACAAGAAGGTAATTCAAATGCTTCAGTCAAGTCAAGCGATGCAAACATTTCGAGTAAGGTTCAGTAGGCAACCACCGAAGCAGAATGCGAAGGTTTATTCACAGTTTGCTATATTGTACGTTGAGAAATTTAATTTCAGAAAATTGAACAGATTCAATGCGTATAAGATTATCAGTAAATGATCGCAAGCAAATAGAGTATACGGTGGTGCACAGCAACAGTAGGCAACCGGATGAACAGGCGCAATGGAGAACCATCTTTGTCAAGGTTTCAGTACTGAAACTCAAATAGGCTATAGTAAAACACCTGAAGATGTGGTAATCGTTCAGTAGAGCGATGTATGGGTCTTCTTGGAGTTGCGAAAAGCTTAACAATAGTTGATAAACATAGTTCTTAGTCGGCAAGTGGTAACCGTGAAGTTATCCAGTGAAGACCTGGAATTGATAAAATTCCCAAAATGTTCTAGTTACTGACGCCGGATTCGCACAACACCGCCAAAATAGAGAGAAGGCTGATTTATGAGTAGCAATGTATGATAAGTCCTCATTAAAAACACTATCAGTCATGCCCATGAAAAGAGTCAAATCAGACCACTTAAGTGATAGCTGACATCCCAGGATTTTCAGAGAGGTTGCAAACGATGCGAACAGTGTTCTGCGGCGAACTGGACGACGGACACGACCCCACCACCTTTCAAGGTTAGCACACAGTGTGCAACAAGGTTACTATCATTGTAGGGGTAGAAGGTTCAGATACTATTTCAATAGTCAAGGGTTCGAGGCCTGCTATCTCCACCTGATGAGATCAAATCAGATCGAAACGTGTCGTGAAAGTGCAGTGTTTTCAGGCAGGCAACACCCAATTTCCATCTGCTTCGGCTACGGTCCCAGTGATCGCATTGAATAAGGTTCACTACAACGTGAATCATGGTCTACATTGAGACTGCGTGTCGCAATCCAATCACACAACGTGTACTACGAAATGACCCACCAATCAATTACTATAATTGGCTTTAATACACCCAACACGAATGTAGTTGTCCACGCGTAACCGGACAAAAGTGCATTTTCTCGAGCAAACCACGGTGTGTACCAGCGTTGTCCGATACAGCGTCACAAACAATGATCATGAATGATGTATCCACAGGCTGACTGTCGACTGCAAGGTCCGAGTTTGGTCGAACACGGCCAAAAACCACAGTGAAGTGCGCAAATGGCAGATAACGGTGTCACCATCGTAATGATTAAAAACACAAGCATAAAAACAAAGTGACGGGATCCGTGCGCAGATGGTTGGGTTGGTTGGAAAACAGCTTATAACAGGCAACATAGACGAAATATAGTGAGCCTAAAGATGAAGGCTTGGCAGGATGAAGAAGGGAAATTAAAAAAGTCAAGTATAAACGAAAGGTCCCATAAAATGCCAATGCGAAAGAAAGCGAGGCTCAAAAGTTAGGCATCACGAATGGTAGTTGAACAGGCATGGAAATAGATCGCTCGTAAGGTGTAGTGGTAAGCGGTAAGGAAAATTTGCTACAGCCCTAAACATGTGTTGTTAGGCTCGGGAGTTGAAGATGACGTAGTTGACCAGCTAACCGAACTTTGTTCCTCACATTCTGCGCTCGCAGTAAGTTAAGCTTTTTGAAATACTCCTTTGATTTAGAACACAGCATGTGACGTTTACGCAAACTTCCCACAGTTATGGGAAATGTGTCTGTTCATGGTGCTACCTTTGGCGCCCAAGTCCATGGTGTGCAACGAAACAAGAAGCGTAGCAACCCGAAAGCTTCAGCAGGATGCACTGTATATGTATGCAACCATAGAATGAGTATCTGTCTCTGATTATCGTTAGATTAAAAAAGGAATGACTTTGCTATCACTAGGAGCCTACTACAAATGAATATTTGTCAGTATGATGATTCAAACCATGCAAGAAGTTAAAATACAACTAAAAATGCAATATGCTCACCCTACTCTAAAATATTTTAGCATATTTTCACTGTCGTATTTCACGATAGCATGATATCATTGTAAGTAAAAAGTTCACTCAGATATTCCGCAGCGCGAATGATTATCCCCTTGTTTTAAGTTGCTGTAGAAGGGTCCACACTCGCGAACTAATAACTACGGAAGAACCATACGAAGGGAAGTTAATTCTAGGGAAATTCTATTTAATCTCAGAATAATTCATTGTGGAAAGAATATCTGCGATGGATAACAGTGTCACATTCAGTCCCATTGTGGTGCTCATTCCGGGAAAAAAGGAATAAGACTCAAGCACAGGCATGGTATCCGTCATGTGAGTTGCATGCATCTATGCATCTGTTAATGGACGGAAATTAGTGTGCTGGATACACTAGCCGACATCGCGAAGAGTCGACTTCAATGAAGTTGGTGTTGTAAGTCTCTGCGTCCCTCCCCTTCCCCTTCAACAACGACCACAAATGTGATATTAGCATTATGCTACTTTTTACAGTTTTTGGAAGCCTTAGAGGGCCTGCAGAACTTCGGCATCGAGCTTCTTCTAGGTAATGGCGCGACCGACTTAGATTACGCTGATGATATCGCCTTGCTCGGTGACGACTCCCATGGGATGCAATCGTTCATTGATCGATTGGTGATTGAAGCGTCTAAGTTTGCCCCCACCAAGTGCAAAGTTCTTCTAAAGAACTGACAGGCACCCCTTCCCCAATTCACCATCGAAGGCACACAGCTCGAACACGTAGATAGTTTTAGCTATCTACCTACCTACTCATTCGATCAACAGAGTGATCTGAACAGCCCGCATTGCTGCGTGGAATTCAGTCGCGTAAAAATCAGGGTGAGGTTGCGCGCCCTGCGGATGGGTCACGACATTCCCTTTCTATCATAATCACGATGTCACAGAAAATAGGTAGAAAAATTTCTGAAAAAATACATGTAAAAATATGAGAAAACATCGGGCGAACCAGTAACTATACCAACATGCTAAGTTCAGTTCCAATATATGCATTGAACTGCATTTCATCTGAGGGGTTGTGCACAATAAGAAATGCCGTCTATGAGTCGAAACTCCAAACGCTTCATGTACAACGAACGGAGTAACATATGTCAGCGTTTATGAGGGGACAATTGCTACAACACCCTTGGAAAACCAACAGGGAGACATATGCGGCAACTGGCTGACATCACTTTTATATAGACTGACAGTGATTTAGTCAGTGGCCACACGTACTACCACAATCACAATGGAAGTCTCAAATGCAAAGCGGTTAATCAGCAGACGGCGAGGTAGACAAACACATATAGTATTCACCTAGGACCAAATGCAAGAAGCGCATGGCTGAGAACGAGGTTAAAGGAATCAAAGTGTAACGAGTGAAAAAGATGACTGGTTTCAACGTCAACTCCTTCCCTGACATAATAGCGTGCTCAATGTAAAATGGCTGCCTTGCTGAACATCACCATAGTGTCAGATGGGCAGTGTTTCAGGAAGTGATGAGCTTCTGTGTTTCTATTTCAGATAGAAAGTACATAAACGAAAGTAAAGTAGGATTAGATAGGGGCCTCCTTGAATGCGCCCGCTGATAACCCTGGTGGAAGCGGCCGGCGTATAAATGCGAACGAGGAGAAATAAGTTTTATTAGAGTAGCCGCTTTTGTGAGATCGGTAAAGCATCGCGGAATACGCAAACGAGACACAACAACTGAACAGCATCAGTATGAAGTTTTCCAAGGTAATCATGAATACAAGGGACTTCAAAGGAAGTAAAGTTGCAACATGGCTAGATATTTAACAAAACAGAAAATTAGGTTAGCTGTAGACAAGAATCGAAATCTAGAAGTGACTGATTGGGGTGGCAGTGAAAAAGAAGCGGTAGACTGCCAGAGTACCCTCATGCTGGCCGAGCTGATTACTGAAGGCAGTACCGTAAGACCAAACAGTGCAACCTCGTTTGACAAAATATCTCACTGACTGTAGCAAAGAAGACAGAACAGCACTGACTCAAACGTGATCGGCTCGAAAACTTACTGTAATCGTACGGATTCACAGGAAAACTTCAAAGAGTAGTCTCTTGAGAAGAAAGTGGTGAACAAGTAGGCATGCCTTGGGTAACGATTAGCCAAGCTGGAATGCAGACGAATATATGTGCATAGCACAGTTAAATGTCTGCAGTTCAAACCACCTGCGTACAAGCGGAAAAGTGTGGTTGAATTCCACCTAATTCATGAAACAGTACAAGGTAGAAGTTAAGCTGATAGGGAGGAAAAATATCGTACAAAAATGTTAAAAAATACCCGCGAACATCAAAGTACAACGAAGTATCATTTGACGGGCATACTAAAGAAATTGCAATCATAAGAACTATCTACCCGAGAAAACCACGAAGAAATTGGTAAATGATGACAAACGATAGAAGACAACAGTGTGCGTCAGAGGCAAAAGTAGCATAATAAGCAAGCTCCCAAAGTCAGTAAAAAGATATCCCGTAGTGCTTGAGCACAAGTTATATTCACGTGGAATTTCGGTGTAAAGGTCAACCAGACAGCGGGTGAGATACTACATACAACTCTGATGACGTGGATTTGTGGCTAATAGACGACATTCACTTTCAATTCATCATCGCGGAGACGGGGGGCAATCAGCCTCCGAAGAATGTGCATGACCTTACGTGGCCTTCAACAAGTTTACCAAGACAAACCTTCAACAAGTTTACCAAGACAAGCCTTCAACAAGTTTACCAAGACAAACACGGTGGGTCGGAATGATATAAAAACTACGTTTTTCCTTCAGCGTGGTGAGGGACAAGCACAGCTGTGATCTACTTTTAGACGATCTATCTGTAGTTAAGCACATGACGATGGCCAAGCGAAAAATGTGAAACGGACGGACACAATGATGACGGACCAGAACAGCGCCTCCGTTCCCAACTAACTTAAGCAGAAATATGAAATTTCCAAAACAAACATGACACAAGTACAAGACTGAACTGTCGCATTACTAGTTTTACAACCATCGAAGAAATATGACAGAAACAAGCTAGTAGATCGAATCCGGCTGAGTGGAGACATTCAGTGACCGGAGAACGGGTGAATTGCTGCTCACGTAAAAAGAACGATATGCCGGTAAGTTATCCAAATGGCGTAAAACAACACAATGCTATCTGTCAAACAGTACGGACTTGTTAACAACCATGATGTATTTGAAGCAATAATGGGTCGAGAGTGCCTGACCAACAGTTCATGTGGAGAATCACCTAGCCTGCCGAACAACCTCTTCATGGTGCCAGCTGGATGGTTGGGGTTTTTATTCCGTTCCAGCAAATGGTTCAGCAGCAGTGTTCCAAGATGTGATGGCTTTTAGCTTGACAAGTGTTCTCCCTATGAAAAGCCACAAATGTCCGTTTAACAACACTGCGACGTGGCGAATGTGACCCGCCATCAAATAAGGTCACTGGCTCTTGCTTCCCTCCGGTGGGGTATTGTATCCTAGTAGCTTGCTGCTGCATTTGTGGGGAGGATTGGGCCCCTGTTTGGCACCTGACCAAACGAAAGGCGTATGAACCAAGAAATCGGTCACCGGCTCCCAATGGGTGTGATTCCCTGAATTCGATCCACTGCCTTGCAGGCAGCATATTTAGCCACAGGTTCGGGCTGGAGTCCCCTAAAACAACTGCCTACTTCGACCTAGGCAACCGGGTAGTATCACGCCTACAGACGGATCATGGAAACACACTCACGATCTCACGATGTTCTACGTTCCCGCTACTGAGCCAGCTTTACAATCTCACGCCACACAATTATTCACCTACTTCATTACCTGATTTCTCGACGGTGAACAACTCTGTCTCCACCGGTGAATTCGTCCCATCAAGATCCGCCAACTCAACCACACAGTACTTCACAGGGAACCACCAGCCACATGGTCTTCCATCATCGCTTCTGCAACCCGGAGCTCGGTAGAAGCTAGCAACACTAAATGTGCGCACTCTACTGCAGATCGGGCAACAAGCGGGGCTGGCGCGCAGCTTGGGAACCCTTGCAATTGATGGCTGCTGCCTGAGTGAGACATGACTTCAGGATCCCAACACAGTCTACCAGCTATCGTCGCCAGTCCATCACGACACCCGTTTTCATCTCCGCCTTTCTGGTGACGCTGAGTCTGCCACTTCTGGGCAAGCTAATGTTGGGATTACGCTCAGTGCTAGAGTCGAGGCCGCCCCCTTGAATGGAATCAAAGCAACACTCGTCTCTATGCTATTAGGCTCCGCGGCACCTGCAAGGTTAGCAGACATCGAGCCGATAAGCGTGCACTTTTGTACACTCCGCCTATGCTCCCAGTGCCTGCAGCTCGGGGGCAGTCAAGGACCAGTTCTATCAAAGTCTTTATGATCTGCTCCTAAGGGCAACTAAAACAGACATCATCATTACGGCAAGAGATTTCAACTCATGCGTTGGTCGGCTGCTTCTATCTGCACGCCACCTCGAGGGACCATATGGATATGATGATGTTCGCTCTGACAATGGAGAAAGATTGTTCAGTCTGTGTGGCTATCACCAACTTTTCCTCTCCAGTACGAGCTTTCGTCACCCCAGGCGACATTATGCCACCTGGCGTCCGCTATCATCAACCCAGCGTTGGTCGCAAACTGACAACAGTCGAAGGTGGCGTAGAAGTATACGCCATTGCTGATCATACTGGTCTAATTGTGTGGAGACCGATCATGCATTGGTGTGCGCGACAGTTTGCATGCGTTTCGGTGGCTCCCCAAGGGCCAAACAAACCAGACTTAATATCTGCAAATTGGAAGATCTCGAAGTACAAACAGAGTATCAACAGAAGCGCCGTGAAAACGCTGCCCCCTCCTCTTCTCTGGGTGTTGATCAACACTGGTTAGGTTTGCGAAAACGCCATGCTGTCCGCAGGTCTGTCCAGCTGCGGCCTCGTCCGATGCACAGCAAAAAGTTGAATCTCGACAACCTCCTCGGAACTTCTAGATCGTCGACGCGCCGTGCCCCCTGGCACGGAACACAACGAAATACGTTGGTTTATCTCACTACAGCTGAAAGCAGGCATTCGCTCTGACCGTGAATCCTGGTGGTCTAGGCGTGTTGCTGAGATGGAGGCCGCTGTATCGGTTGAAAACTGCTGTATTTTATTTCATCTCATCAAAGCCACCGGTTGCAATTCACACGCCATCAGTCAGACAATCTGTGGGTTAGACGGCACAAAAATCACCAGCCTACAGAAGCGCTGAACAGAGCACCTTGCTCTTCAATTTAACTACACCGCAAATCCCACTATGAGACCTCCATCTCCATCGGATGTCTCTTGGACTGTCCCCAGTGACCAACCTACTGAAGTAGATATCCGAAGCGCGATTAGTTCTGTGAAACGGCATAAGACTCCCGGCCCTGACAACCTTCCTCCGGCTCTTTTCAAAGATGGTGGGGATGTACTTGTCAACGAATTGCTCTCACTTTTCACAAAGGTTTGGACTGATGAGAAAGCCCAACTCATGTCCCGCTTCACAAGAAAGGCTCCCGCGAAGATTGCGCTAATTACCGCTAAATCTCGCTGATCTCAGTTGCTTCCATCTTACTTCGCAGGTTTTCCTTCACCCGGGAGTATTTCCCAAGAAGAACAAGCCGGTTTTCGCCCAGGCCGAAGTTGCATTGATCAAATCTTCACGCTCCGACAAATTCTCGAGCTCCGCCACGTCCACCGTCGACCAATAATCGTAGTGTTCCTGGACATCCGCATGGCATTCGATTCAGTAGAGAGAACTGCTTTGTGGAATTGTCTACTCAGGATCCACCACACTTCTGAGCACAGACTGCAGCAGTCACTAGTGAATTGCCATTGTCTTCTGCATCAATGTAGCGAGTGGAAGGGTTCAATGTCATTTCAACTATATCATATGGCACAGGAATTATTTGACACGAAGAGCAGTGATCCCAACCGCCCAGTCATGTTCCGTTAATGCAAGACATGGAAAGTTCCGCGCAACACATGAACGTCAGGGAGATCGCTTGTTCATCGTTTGGACATTTCGCAGTTTTCGTTGTAGGAAACAGATACTAATCAGTGGCATCCTCTATGGTAGACTGATCATCGGAGTTCCTGTTGGCTACCTCGCGTCAGTGCTACGGGCATAAGTATGCTTGCTGGCTACTCATGGTAAATGTATCCAGCGACCCCAACAAACGAATATATGCAGCAGAAAGGTTCTCAACACCGAATGCCCCAAGGTGGGTGGGCGAATGGCCACCATCAACCTTCACATCGTACATTGGGAGTAAATGCAATGCATGTCGGCTGGGTAAACAAGATCGTTACTCTGTGACACTGAACGTTCCAACTAGGATCGGAAGGGAGACTGAGACTGTAATTAAGAGCAAGTAGAAATGTTTTTGTACAACTTTATCGAAATATGAGAGATTAAAATCACTTAATTGCGGATTGTCAGCGGCACTGTTTTGTCAGCTGATCGTTTGTCTTTGTTCGGTTAGGAATTCGGATTGGTGTCATTATTTCAGGGTACGGGGTGTAATTTGTGTGTTGTGAGCGGACCGATACACAAAAACACAGCTTTCCGAAATAATCGTCGATACGTGTTTTAAAACACTTCACAAAATCTGCTTCTATTAATCCTTCTAGTAGTGTATCACTTAAGATTAAAATTCTTCGTTCTATACAAAGCTGATGTGATACTTTGTTCATACATGGGACTCTGAGTTTGTAACGTAGTCATCGGATGTTACAGGGTTCCCGCAGGTGAAATATTGGCCGCAGTATGGGGAAGTGACTCAAGTAGAATGTTTGATGGGTCGTAAGAAGGTCAATTCGTACTCAGGGGTAAGACAGCGTGTAGAGTCCGACACCTTCACAACGTTTTTCATACGGAAGCTCTCGAAGACTGGGAATGATTCTAGTTGCGATGTGCAATATTTTCTTCAGCTTTGCGGTCTCCCACTGCGTTATCGAATGGTAAGCTGGGGTGTCGTACTCAATGATTGGTCTAAGGAGCGAAGTGAATAGATGAGGGACGGTTACTTCGGACCATGTGGAGAAATTACGTCGTAATACCCAGAGCATACGAAGTTCCGCACGGTACAATTGCTCTG